CGACACCATTTTACGAATGCCCCTGACACTTTCTCCAAATCACTGGCTTTTTTTTTTTTCACCAAAGCGAGCGAGTCTTCTAGCGTTGCTTCTTTTCCCTGCAAGCATTGGATTCCTTCTGTCAAGGAACTGAAATTTGCCTTTATGATGGCCAGCTGTCCTTCCATTTCGATGCACGAGAACTGTTCCTGAGCGGCTTCAATTTCCCTCGCATCCTCCGTCTTCATTGAATCTACAGTGTTCTTCACTACCTGAAAATGATCGCAAAAGTAAATTGCAGCATCAATCCACGTTACCCACCTTGTAACGAAGGTTTCCGGTGGCAGTGGAACACCAGGAGCCATAGATTTAAAATGCAATTTACGAGCTGGAGCTTTGACGAAAATCTTCTTCGTCCTCGACATGAGAGCATCCACTTGAGGAAATTTTGATCCCACTTCCTCCGTCATTCTATGCAGTGCATGAGCTGGGCAAATAACGTGCACCAATTTCGTATATAAAGACTTTATTGATTTGCCTGCTTTTATAATATATGGGGCTGCATCGGTCACAAAAAGCAAGACGTCGTCGTGTCGTATACCCTCTGGCCACAGTAGAAACATCGACCTGTCGAAGAGTTTCCAAATTGTGGAATGATTAACGGATTCTAGCACCTCACTCGTAAGCTGAAACACTTCACCCGGTCCGCCAATTTCCAAGGTTCCAATGATGACGCTTGTCTCCGTATCGCAGGTCTCATCAATGGAAACGAAAATCTTCTTCCCGTGCACTTTATTCCTAACCATTTCCAGGATACTGTTGTAGCACCGGGAAAGGTAGTTCTTCCTGAGGGTGGATTCATCCGGGATGGAACGACCACAGTTTATTTCCAGAAATTTTTTCAGTTTTCCATTGTTCAGAGCCCAAAACGGAATATTTGCAGACGCCAGAGCATCACACAGATTTCTGAAAAATTCCAGTGACTTATTTCCACCTCCAGATGAACACTGCTGCACTAACATTTGCACAGCTTTCTTTTTGTTCGAAACTTGCACCGCCCGTATATGCTTGTTGGGGCCGATATGTTGTTGTACCGTGAATCTTTTTTCTGCCGCTACTTTTGTGTCACACATCTTGCAGTATAAAATGTCACCGTCAGTTGAAAATATATCATCTCCAAACTCAGCTTTAAATGACACGATTTAGTTGGCTTTGCTTTTGGCATCGTGATAAAATTAATCATTCCAGCGCAACACAGAACTGAACTTTTCTCACCGAGAACTTTTCGTCAACTGTATGGTCAAGGGCGAGGAACTGAAGACAGAAGGAATTTTATTGAACAACAATGTCATATGAAGCAAGAGATTCCGGCTAGAAATATGTGTAACTAAGCAAATTGCTTTGTACAAAGAGCCGCAGTGTGAGTAGTAGAACGGAAAGGACGGGCCAGGATTACAACCTATTATTGTATACTATGGCCTTTGTAGAGACCGCTTAGGAGAAAGAGAAAGAACACTTTGCTTCCATATTATTCACATTTGAGGAAACATATGAAGAAAAATTCCCTAAAATCGCCAAAAAATGACAAGAAATACCCTTAAAAGCCCCAAAATTTACCAAAAAATGATCCCCAAAATTAAAAAATGACCTTAAACCTAAAAATTACAAAAAGTTACCTATAAAATTTGCATTTCTGTAACCAGCAGCTCATATCCGAGATGTATATATTTAAGAGCATCGCATAGGATACAAGGAAAAAAATATGACATGTCATCAAAATCCGAGCCCTGCTTGTTACCCTTCAGTCGGCTGTCAACGAAGAGCTGATGACATTTATTTTGATGTCAGCAGTCTATTTGGCTTCCTTATGGACACCTTGCTTCTTCATGCCGTTAGCGATCTTGAACTCTCTGGTTGTACTGTAAACTGGTTTTGTCGTTACCTAACAAACAGACAATCCCAGATATGTGCTTATGGCATTTTAACTTATATATCTGTGTTCCTCAATGATTTGATCTGTGGCCTCTGCTTTTCAACGACTTATATGATAGAATTAACTACTCTAGGCTTCTACTTTTTACAGATTATATAAACATCTGCCGAGCTATTAATTCTCCTGAAGGTTGTCTAGAGCCCGATATTGATTCTATACGATGTTGGTGCGCTGCTAACTATATGACATGCAGTATCTGTAAAACTAGAGTTCTATCTTTCTTAAGGAAAAATTACATACTGATTTCAAGTATAAAATGCCCATCCTCTGTGACACGTACCGACCTTACTAAAGGTGTGGAGATAAACCTATATTCTAAACTTCATTCGAGTAACCATCTCAACAATATATTTTTCTGCTGCATTAAGTTGTTGGGTCTAGTTGGCAGCCTAACGTTCACCTTCGCATCCCTGGAATGCATTTTTGTTAGTTGGATTTAAGTTTGAATACGCGACTGGTATTTGGAATTCTAATATATCTACTGATGCCAACAAACTGAAAGGCACCCAGCAGAAAATTGTTGCCCACTCTTTCAATTGTTTTTAGAGAAGTTAAAATTGCACACCATACATAGCAGGAGTATTAACTCGCTGCATTGCTTCATATTCAATTTTATGTTGGTTCCATATATGGCCCTTTTGGAAACCGCCGAACTTCCAGTTTCTACTAGACGTGTCAGGCTTAATGTCTACTCTTCTAGTAAAACTGTCCTGTTAGCTACGCTTCAGCTACTAAGGTTGTTTGTTGGAACGTTGACGTATTTGAGCCAAAACTGTTTCTCTTAATCATAGTGTATAATTTGTACGTCTTAAATACTAAAATATTAATGACAATCGTCATTAATTTATATACATATTCTCATCACATCATTGTTGGCATGAATGCACAAATTGAATGGTAATTGTCTAAATGATGTACGTTGGCTAATTAACCAGATCTTGTCGTTCTTGGCGTGTGGTGGAAGCTCTATTGTGCAGACTCTGAATCAAACCTCTTTGCACATGTGGCGGATGGTTACAGTTGAAGTTGAGGTATGTAACCGCACCATGCAGGAATATCTTTAATGTTGTTAATTTACATTATTAATTATAATTTCTACAAGGAAAAGAAATCTATTGCCAGTTAACAAAGGATGAAACACGATGGATCCCAGCACCAGCAGGCGTCAAGAAAGACATCTGACCTTTTTTAGAGACAGGCAAGCTGCATGTAACTTGTAAACCCAGAACAGAACAGGAAGTGTCCCGCTGCGTTTTCTGGGAATTTCAATGCTTAACTTCGGCTGTACGAGTCTTTGAAAATTTGAGGCTTGACAGATACGACTCGCAATAATTTTCGGAGAGGCGTGCCGAGCGATTTCTGTCAGAGGGACCGCCTAGTACTTAGGCCCAAATTTACTTGGATCTCGTTAGGGATTGGCGGAATGTAAATGAGACTAACACCCCAATTTTAGGTCCAGCCAATCGTAAAAATTCAGAGGAGAGGAAACCGGGCGTTCCCGGAACCGACAAGACTTCTGCCTCTCCGGAGCGACCAGTCGTCTTAGAGAGTGACAGTAGTAGCATCACGACATTCGGACCTCCCATACATTAAATCGGTGTTGCCCAAGTCCGGTACACAAATTCAACAGTGTTACAGCCTTGTAATAGGTAATTCTCGTTCGCATCTGCAATAAAGAGCGACAGTGTTGAGTGAAGTGTGTTTCAAGTGTTCTCTATCTCCTTGTGTGAGCAAGGCCCAGACGTCGCCCTGAGACAGAATCTTGTCCTACCAACTGAGCGGTCGAAACTCCAAACGCCCACCTATCCACGTCCCCCACCCAATTTTGTTTACCCCGTTCCAAATTCGTGGATTGCACCAAAGTCCACTGGCGCCCATACCGATTCAAATTCAGAGTAATTCCACAACCTACTCTGAACCAAACAGCAACGAGGAAGCGGCGCATAAAAGTGGAGGAGCCGGGCAAGACCCACGCAGCCGTGGATACCACCCAGCAGCAGCAGTAATGACCACTACGGTAAAGGTAGGTGTCCGACCCAGGAACCGGCGGGCATCGATCGACACATGAGAGCAAGAAGGGCAGTTAGAGAGAGAACAAGTGGAACTCAACGTAAGGGCTAACGACGATTAGAATACCGGCCAGTGTGGGTGTGTTCCCTGTAGACTTTGGTGGCTAGCGTCGTCTCTTCCTTGCTGACTAGCACATCAAGAAATGCAGTTGCATTGTATGACACTGTTTCCATGGTGAACTTGATGGACGGCCTTAAACTGTTGAAGTGGCTGAGGAAATCCTGCAACTGCTCTGGACCGTGAGGCCAGACCACAAACGTTTCATCAACGTACCGGAGCCACAGCGGTGGTTTACGTTGTGCCGATTCAAGAGCCAATTTCTCAAAATGTTCCATGAAGATGTTGCTCACGATGGGTGATAGGGAGCTTCCCCTAATGAACGTGATAAAATTGCAGCAATTGAAGCTCTTATTCCTTATCATACTGTGCGTCACGGCCAAAGTTGTCACACAAATGGCTGCTTGGCGACATTGATAAATAAAATTTATGAACCAAAATTTACTTCACGTACCAAATCGGAAGAAATAATTACAAACGTTTTCTCGCCGTATGTACTGGGCGAAGTAATAAAGGATTTGAATAAAATAAACCGCAATACAGTCAGTTTAGATGCATCAAACAAAGAAGACATCAGACTTTTTCCAATAGTTTTGCAGTGCTTTTTGTCTAATTGTGGTGCTGAAGACAAAATTATAGCCTTTGTTTCCTTACCTGGTGAATCCCCCGACCTACTGTGGGCTATGTGGAAGGCAGTAAGTGACAAATTTGCCTTACAAAACAAAATTGTTGTTTTGTGTAACACCAATTTTTGTTGTTATAACTTCATAACCATTAATGCCTGCATACCTTACAAGTTTCCAAACATTATACACACACACACACACACACACACACACACACGTACTTACGTTTGCACTGCCATCTGATGTAGTAAAGTTGAAGTTCCATCCTTTTAACGCTTTTAACCGTTTTAACCCAATGCCACCAAGGTTCTAGTAACCATGTATAATGTTTATGTTTGTATCTAGGCATCTGATATCATGGCAATTATATGGTTGTAAGCGTGAGAACTACCATTACAGGAGTGCTAGCAGAATTTCGTGAAGGAAATTGTAATATTTTAATGACAGTTCATAAGAAGAAAAAAATCTACATATTGCATAATTGCCAACTGCTTCTCCTCTCTGCTCTTTATTTAATACAATTAGTTTGAGTGTTACAATAATATTGAGTGAAGTGAAGATACGTGGAATGGTAGTTCTAAGTAATTTTCCACCGCCAACAGACGGTATCAGGCATGAACAGCCCTCCACAACTGTCCATATTAATGATAGAGAGCTCGGTAAAGGTACACTGTTTATAACAGAAAGGTTAGTGGTGTGTAATAAGTTATTTCCACAAAAACTTGGTGCTTCACGAAAAACTGAAAGACAGTTTTTATAAATGGGGCAATTATGCATTCTTTTAGTACATTTAGAATTCGTTTCATGGTTAATATATGAGACTGGTGCATTCAGACATGTGCACTGATGTAAAACTTAGTGAAATATATAAATGGTTTGAACACTAATAAAAGTGAATTACTGTAGGGCCTGAAACAGTGTTAGAAAATACAATAACAACTTAGTCACTGATCTAGAAATTCCTGCATTTTATGGAAGTCTAATTTATATTACCATGTTGGCAAGAATGTGTCTGTAGTTCATATCATGAGTCAAATTAAATCAATCCATATCCTACCACCATGTTCCTTTAAGGATCCATTTTAATATTATTTTCTCAATTACACACAGTTCTACCAACTGGACCCTTTTAAGATTTCCAATCAAAAGTTTGTACACATTTCCCATAGCTTTCATGTATGCTGTATGCCCTGCAGTGTATACATTGTTTTTAAATTTGGAAACCTATCACCAAAAATGCTTATGCTGGATCCTAAATTGTCATCAGCAGAATTCAGCCAATGAAGCCTGGCTGTCTTGATGGTAGATTTAACCACTTTATGACAGTAGAAGATGCTACACTTTTCATTAGATTTGGATTTCTTATATTATCCAAAAGAAACTGGGCTTCATTTATAATATAGTATTTTAATGAGAAGGAAAACCAGTGCAGGAAGGAAGATTACTATATTTAACAAATGGAATTGCTACATTCATAGCTTCAGTTAATGTGGAAGTCTGATTATGGATGGCTGAGTCAACCGAACTTAGTATACCCGACTAGTTGGATAGAACACCATAAAGGAAACAGAGTTGCCTTGAGCATAATTATGAACTGTTAGAAATATGTGAGGATAGTCTAAAGTTAATTTACAGTGAAGCAGAAGTGAGGGATGATAACTGTCAGGATTGACTGTAGGACAGTTTGAAATTGAAACATTTAGGCCCTTAATGTTAGAAAAGATGGATTCTAGTAGTGAGTTATGAGAAACAGCATCATTTTGCTGATGGAGACCAAGGAAACATACAGTTATATGGATCAAGTTACCTTTAATGTTATTGTTATAATAAGAATTGGTCAGTGAAATACCATTGGAGCACAGGGTACATTGAAGTATCTGAATAAAATTGCACAGTAAGAGTGTGTGTTAGCGGCCTCTGTAGTCTAGAGGTAATGTTCCCACCTCATGACTCGTAGTACGCTGGTTCAAATACCCGGCGGAGGTCGTCGAATTTTTAAGGGCGGAAAAATTCAGGGAACAAGTCCTCCAGGAGGGACTTTAAGCCATGGGTCCCGTGTCGTAGCTTTACGGCACGTAAAAGAACCTCATATCTCCAAAGGAGGTCACTGAGCCAAATTACGGACGTTTCCCGCCCAACAGCAGTCTCTAATACCTCTGGTAGATGGGGGAAGCATTATAAATACCTCTCAGCTAGTAGAGCCGTTCTCGCTGGCTGGGCGGGACTGATGGTAAGCTCCAGTACCGGTAGGATATAGAGATTGGTAGAAATCATAGAGGGAAGCACAAGGAACCAATACAGGTCTAAGTGCATGGGGAAACCCACCCTCTCCAATAACTAAGAGCGTGTGTTTAAATCCTGTTCCAAGAAGTGTAAATAATTTAAATATTTTTGACAATATAATCTGGGACAAAACAGTTCTTATCTAAAAACAAACTAATGTTATCATTAACACAAATTTCCATCCACATTAACATTCTAGGAACTATTCATAAACTCAAACACAGCTGCAGCTTTACATTCATGATTACTGTATTTTAATTTTTTTCTGTTATTGAATGGGTTAAATTAGATCTGTGTAAACTATTCTGTTACAGCCGTTTGTCGTGGGTCAGCAGTTCTTCAGGACAGGGTTTCTCATTGGAGTATCCACACATTGCCCTACATGCAGTTTCTCGTGATCTTCAAGCTTATCCATCTGAATGTCTCTATATCTTAGTAGATACACAAATAGATCCAGGTAGGAGGTGAAGTAATTGAAATTGAACGTTCAACACTGTTCATACAAAAGCTTGCTATAGGACATGATCCTGAACTGTAGCAGTTTATCCCGCAATCTTTCTAGTTAGATACATGTTAATATCCTCTTTCCATCTCCTCCTCAGTCTTTCAAGTGGCCAGTTTCCATGAAGCTTCACTGCCAAAATTCTCTCTACATGAAGAAGAGTACATGAAAACTAAATGAAACTTAAAACTTGAGTATGTTACCAACAATGGCATGGGATGTGCAATGAGATAAATACAAGTGAAAAGTTTGAAGTTAATTTGAAAGTTTAAGATTTATTTTGGATGCAAAGCGTAAGTTTGAAAATGTGAGTGTTTAAACACCCACATAATGAATATTTAATTTGAACAAAATGTGTGATGGTAACTGACATACTTGTCCTGCCTGCAGCAAGGAATACTTTTTAAAAGAATTCTCATATGTTAAAATTAATCACAACAGTTTAAATACCAGTTAGTAAACAATAAACTTTTGTTTTTACTATACATTCCTGGTCTCATGTAGTTTGAATTTATTGTACATTTATTCATATGGTCAGTATTCACTGCACAAAATTACTTTTTCCTAAAGAGGCATATTAATGATAAAGATAAAATATTACATCATCACAGCTTGATCTCTTTTCATTGCGTTTTTTGACATTGACAGTAGTTGGTTATATATTTGTATGCAAAATTTACTTGTAGGAACTGTTCACATTCACACAGTATGAATACAGGCTGGCCGATACTTTTTGGCTGCTGTCCTTCACTGTCAGCGCATGAGAGCGAGTCTATGCTACGAACTTACTTTGTCTGCAGAGAGAACATTCGTAGGTTGGCTGCTTGTGAGGTTGGAAGTTGCTCTGCGACTGCAGGATGAATTTAACTGGAACTTTAGTCCTATCAGTCACAATTCAGGCTTTTTAACATCTTATTATGATGAACTGATTTACTCACAGTATGCTGCACTACACTAGCAACGTTAAATTAAAATACACATAAACCTAAAACAATACTAATTATTCATCTAACAGTTCCACTCCAGACAAGTCACTGTTTTCACTGAGTTCAGTTGTATCATTATCACTGGAGTCGCTGTCACTGCTGTCTTCAGAACATCGGATGATAATTCTTTATATAGCATTCTCTCTCATTCCCTCTTTTTCGATATATTCCTTTTCATTCTTTTCGGTGCGATCGCAAACTTTTTCCCAATTCTCTATTCCAAATTCACTGAACCATTTCTCACACTTCTTTGCCACGTCATCCAAATGAAATGAGACATTTTCTGCCTTTACTGACTGCTTAACATCAGCCCAAACGAGTTCAGTGGGATTCAAGTCTGGATGATAAGGTGAGAGTCATGATACCATGTGTCCATATGCAGCTATTATGTTGTCCATTACAAAGTTTTTGTGGAGGGGTTTATGTGCCTCTATCAGGTCATAGAGCTGAATTTTGAACATTCCATCATGAAATGGCACATTGTTCACCATGAAGATGAAGGTGATAAGTTTCTCTGAAATGTCATTTGAATGTCAACGGAATACACCATATTATCCACGCCCCCATATGCCTTCATGTATAGTGCTTCATTAGTTAAGCACAGGGACAGCTTTACCTTTACCTTTACACCATGTTATATCCCAGAAGGTGGTACTCTCCATAACCACTGCTGTGAGAACCTCAGATCCTACAAAGCAGTTTCTGTTTTTCAGATAATGATCCTCATAGTGACTGTGTGGACGAGGATTCAGAAGTAGGAATGCAAGATATGACAGAAATGCGATTTGTCCCGGATGATAAAGGCATGCTTGATGCCATGTTCCATGCTATGAGTGAATGTCAGTCATTGCATCCAGATTCTCAAGATAGTTTTTCTGAGGGTTTGTATATATTTGCGCATGTCCACTTAACTGTCTTCTGTGTTTGAAGTGCAATGATTCTGTAATGCTTATGGAATTTAATAAATTTAATGATTACCAATTAATGTGAAATGAGACAATTGCATACCATTTTGTTTGAAGGAACTGAAATAATGCCGACTAAAGAAAGGAGGGCAAATTGACCTCAAGTGATGAATTGATAAGGACTAACGATAAAATTATTTTCTCATTACTGTCATGAAGTAATGTGATATGAAGCAGTTTGAAAACTGATTAGTTCTTTGGCACATCACATAATAATTTGAATGTGTCTGTGAAACACTGCGATACAGTACAGTCTTGGTAATCCGACCGTGCACTAGTGTGACATGTCCAATAATCCGGCATCAGGTGTCTGCAGGTTTCTACAGGCAGCAGAGGCTGACTTGTGTTCAGTCAAGCTTGTCAAACTGATGTATTTAGACCCTCGCAAGTACATAGTGTTTCAGTTCTTCAGTACTATCCATTCATATACAGTACTTTTTATACAGCAGTGGATTTAATGCATGTTCAAGATGTCCAATTATGACAAATGCAAACATAAAACTTTACACTTGTTGCATAAATTACTGCACAATTTAATATTGGTTGGTAACAGTCTATTAAACCCTATTTCACGTGACGGTGAAAGGAAACTGTCGATTTTCTGGAAGGAAGAGAGTAACTGTACAAAAATGGGGAAAAGTCATAAAAATATCAACTCTGTAACTTGTATTTAAAAGGGCGCTGCTATAAAATGATACATATTAAATTAAAAACCAGGAAAACATACATTTTTAAGTGTAATATGTACCGTGATACCTTTATTTTACGCTTTTGAATGGTCCATAAAAATAAGTATACAGTCAGGGAACAAAAATGATGCAACATAATGAAAACTCTTGGTTGCTTTATACCATAATTCTGACAAGTCTTTTAAAATACATATGTTCTTACACAATAAAATATGAATGCAAATACACTAACCTGCATGCCTAGGTAGTAACATTTATACAAGGTATGCAGAGGTTTCCTGTTAATAAAATTTGTGCAGCAGGTTATGTCTTACCTTATGCAACTACTCTGAAACTGGTAAGTCAGCTGAACAGTTGTAGGGCTGACCACCACCAAGTTTAAGCCTCTTGTACTTCCTGTGCCTGCTTCTCCTTGTCCAATACCACATACATTTGGATTTTCATGGCTTAGGATTACGTCTGCCTGTGTCCTGTTTGTTAAATTGATGCTGGCCCTCTCCAACACAGGGATTTTTGGTTTCAAGTCCCATGGGACTCACGACCATATTATATTTTACTGTCTGATGGCTGTAGGAGGCTTCTACACTCTGTCCAGTTCCAATCCTCTGGACTGACTGGCTGACTGCTAACTAAATTGCTGCTGGCCCTTGCCAGCACAGTTATTCTTGGTTCCAAGTCCCAGGGACTCATGACCATATTTTACTGCCTTACATGTGTGGGAGCCTTCAGAATTCCAGCTCTCCTCCCTCTGCACTGCCATACTGGGGTTTTCTTATATGCCTTCGGCACAGGTCACATAAAAAATACCAGTCATTATTATAGTTCAATTGTTCCTATGGGAACATGTTTGTTTTCAAAGCCATTATTCAGTAACGGCTGCTGTATATTTGCTTATGCTATGGCTGTTGCCTAGCAACGGCCGTATATTCCACAATATATTGGATGATCTGAAGGACATGAAATTTGAACTAACCTGCACAACACATTTTCTAGGAATGTCAAATCCCTACACAACTTTGATAGAACCACCTTCACACCTAACTGCAGTTCAAGCGATTAAGCTGCTGAATCACTGTCATTCAGAAGAGACAGGACTTTCATTCATTAGGCAATACCACCACTAGGTGACCGAACATTACACCTAGCATCAAGCAAGACACCCATAGTGGTGCTTGAAGCCTAAGAAATAAATTCCATGCAACTTATATGATTAAATAGGACTGTAAATTTCCAGAGTCCTCAGCATCATCTGACTGCCATATAGATGTAACTTAACCACATTGATGAAATTCTCATTTGTTACAGATGAGGAAAGCTTTGAGGATGCTGATGGAGAAGAAGGAGAATACCATCTGAGTGGAGATGCACCCATCCCCCTTCACAGTAAGGGATCTGCTTTGGATGTTTCAGTTATATAAAGTAGATGGGTGAAGCCTTCCACTCTTTTCAGTTCTTCTGCCCTGTGAAAATTGTTGCTGTATATTTAGTCATTTCCATTCTGTGGGAAGAAACTGTACTGTGTGATTTTCTTCTGTTCTGCTAATATGATGGCTGTTCATATACAGTATTTATTTAATCAGTTGTAGCAGTCTTGACTACATACAGGGATATGCCTGTAAAGCATACAGAAGTATAGTATAACCATGACAGAATGAAGAGGGCTTATAATGAGAACTTAATTATAATCACAAAAATCATTGCCAGTGTCAGTTTCCTAAGTTATATATGACATAAGCTCATATAAAAAGGGTTCTTTCGGGCACTTTTATTATGAATCATTTAATGATTTCTAACTACCTGTGACTGTTTTTGTACTTCTCTGCACAGACTGTACCCGCAGTCTTGCTTCACAAAATTATTCACAGCAGGTAGTCCATGAAGGTATCATTAATGTGGTTATCTCCCATGTCTAGAAGAAAACCCGCATACTAGAATGTAATAGAGTACTGTATGTCTGAACAGAGAATTCTCATCCTTGGCACTACAGCCCCACTGGGCCTAGGCCTACCCCCACAAACTTCTCCGTTCACTTAGGTTTTTCTAGATCTTACACGTTCGGTAGGACTCCTTGGGCGGGCGATCAGCTCGTCGCAAGGCCTCTACCTAGGTGTTATGAGAGGGCCCTGTAGCGGAGTATTTTCACTTCTCTGGGGTTCCGTGACTGATAATAACAGGTTGTGGGTTGGATGCCTGCTTTACAATTGCGACCAAGTATAGCTCACAATCAATGACTGTCAAGACTAGTTCCATTCCTCACTGCACTACGTGTGTCATCTCTTCCACTGTGACTGACCTGGCTCTGATTCACGAATTGATCACTTACGGGCGAATGAGGATAGAAAATATCATATGCTACATTGTAGAGATTTTTATGACAGTATGCAACAGTATAGTGTACTGGCACCTTTACTGATGGTGATATATCAGATACTTTGTGGGGGTCTGCTACTGTTGTCCATAGAAAATTTTGATCATCAGAAAACAGCGGAACATAATGCTGCTATAAAAAAAAATTGCAGAAGCTGAGGTGGAACCCCTTGAAAATTGCCAAAATGTTTTGCACTGCATATAAGGTGGCCAAAGGAAATCAGTGTTTTCATGATTTTCAATCTGAAACTGAGGAACAAAAATTAAATGGAATTGACATGGGTTGTATTCTTCATTCAATTAACACGTGAATTAATGTCTTAAATCACACTGGAGATGAAATGAGGAAAATTTGGCTAAGATAGTTCTTAGGTCAAAGAGTAAAATTTCATTGATAATTTACTAGTTGACCACACTGAATAAAAAATCAAGTTTAATCATGTACATTTAAATTTGTATATTAGACAGTGGACTAACCTCTGCAGTAAATGTTTTTGGGCTTGATTGAACTTGAAAGTGTTACCATAAAAGGAATTTTTTATTCTTTGCTTGACTGTCTTTAGTCATACAGAATGACAAAACTATTTAAATATACGTAACTCAGTTTGTGTCACATGTGGTGTAGTTGTTATGAGTAGTAAAAGTATGTTATCAAAATAGTGGATGAAAAATTCCCTTTTTTAATTCTATGGCATTTCACTAATCACAAATAAGAACTATAACAGTGAAATCACTTACAGGTGTTCATAAATGTAAGGCATTTATTGATAAACTTTATGTCTTGTACAGCACATGATCTAAAAATGCTAGAGGCATGAAAGTGTGTGCGAACTTGCTGGACATTGAACTATTAAAAATTGTCCAAATTTTAAACACACAATGGATGGCATCAAGTTTCTGGTCAGTTTCAGCTGTCTGGAATGAGACCTTAGTTAATCATTTTAAGAAGTAAAGAATGATTCAGCGTGGGGCAAAATGTAGGGATACACATATGAAAAATTGCAGGAGAAACTACACCTACTAGACTTATGTTTAAAATAGATGCCCTTCAAGAATTAGCTGACTTGAGTTTGGACCTTCCAGAGAATGATATTTATTTGTAGAGAATGAATAAAAAACAGAAACTGTTGTACAGTTCTGGGATCATAACATGAGGATGATGCCAGAGCCGCCAAAAATGTACAATTCAGGGAGTTACTCTTCATGGGAAAGATTCACTCAGTAACTCATGGAGCTAAGCCCTTCTTAAGAAGCTGCCAATTGTGCAGCTACTCAAGAACTTCCAAGCATTTTATGGAACCCAAAAGTTCATTACCATGTTCACAAGAGCCATCCACTGGTCCCTATCCTGAGCCAGATAAATCCAATCCACCCCATCCTATGTAAGATCCATTTTAATATTGTCCACCCACCTACACCCTGGTGTTCCCAGTGGTTTCTTTCCATCTGGCTTTCCCACCAATATCCTATATGCATTCCTCTTCTCCATCATTCATGCCACATGCCCTGCCCATCTCATCCTACTTGATTTGGTCATTCTAATTATGCTTGGAGAAGAGTACAAGTTATGAAGCTCCTCATTATGCAGTACAAGTTATGAAGCTCCTCATTATGCAGTTTTCTCCAACCTCCTGTCACTTCATCTCTCTTCGGTCCAAATATTCTCAACACCCTGTTCTCAAACACCCTCAGTATATGTTCCTCCCTGAATGTCAGAGACCAAGTTTCACATACATACAGAACCACAGGCAACATTACAGTTTTGTATATTCTAATTTTTGTTTTTGGACAGCAGATGAGAAGACAAAAGGTTCTGGCATGAATTATAGAAAGCATTACCCAAATTCAGTCTCCTCTTAACTTCCTCCTGAGTCAGGTTTTGATTTGTTATATTCATTCCAAAATATCTGAACTGTGCCACATTTTCAAAACATCTTTTACCTATCTTTATATCATGATTCTGCCATGTATTTTGGTGACAATACAGCGACATATACTTAGTTTTCTTTGTGTTTACTACTAGACCAACCTCCTTACTAGCATCAATTAAAGTTTGTTTTTTTCTTTGTGGTATGTATATTATCACCCAGTACATTCACATCATCGGCATAAACCTACAGCTGATGTGTCCCATTTAATTTCAGTTCCTTCTGGTTTCCCTGGACTTTCCAAATGGCATATTCTAAAGCAAAGTTGAAAAGGAGTGGTGATAAAGCATCTCCTTGTTTTAGACCATTCTGGATAGGGAAATTATCAGACAAATGTTTACCTATATGGACTTTACCGTACATTTTGTTTAAACACATTTTAATCAGCCTAACTAGTTTTGTGGGTACCCCAAACTCTATCAGAATATTGTACAATACTCGTAGTTCCCTCCTAACTGAATCATAGGCTTTCTTGAAGTCTACAAATAGCTGATGTACTGTCTCATTATACTCCCATTTTTTCTCCAGTATCTGACAAATATAAAAGATCTGATCAGTAGTTGATCTATTACGTCGAACTCATACTGATGATCCCCAATAATTTCATCTATATATGGACTTAACCTTGAGAAAAGAATACTCAACAAAATTTTGTATGAAGTTGATAGTAGTGATTACTACAGTCAGTTTTATCACCCTTCTTGTGAACTGGTACAATAATAGACTCCTTCCACTGATCAGGCAATTTTTCCTTATGCCAAGTAGAATTAGCTTATGGGTCTTAGACAATAATATTGCAGCTCCTGCTTGAATAAGTTCTGCCGGAATTTGATCACTACCTGGCGATTTATACCTTTTCAATTTTGCAATAGCAATTTCAACCTCAAAAGATTACAAAAATTATTCTCAAATTGATCTAGTAACTTCCTACAGAATGTTGAAAGAATGAATAGCATGCAGGCTGCTTTATAATAATACCATTCCTACAAGTGCTTGATAGGAAACATTGACTTGAAGATATTAACTCTATTGACATATGGTGAGAATAAAGTTAGGAAATTGTCAGTTAGGCTTCTAATTAAACAAAAGAAATACAATTGGCAGATTTCCTAATTGAAATGATGATTCTGGAAAAATTTAAGCATTTGAAGAGCACTTTGAGTATGATGCCAGTTTCGTCAAGTGAATGTAAACAAGGATCTTCACAAATGAATTTGATTGTCAGCCCAATCAGAGCTTTGTTGTGACAAAAACAATTTCTTCATTACTTTTTCTTAAAATTGTAGGTCCACCCATAACACACTTCAACCCTGTAAAATATGTGGATTCACAACTGCTTTGGAAACATCATTTAGCCAGACACAAACAGTAAAGACCGAAGTCCGGGTAATGTGTCAGAGAAGAATTTAATAAAAATTTAGAATTTTCTGTAAAAACTTATGAAACCAAGTACTCTTTATATATTTTTAAATGCTTATGCAATAAATTTATGTGTGATAAATGAAGTGTTAATATATCTTATTTGTTTTTATTCCAACATCACAATATGAAACGGTGTCAATTTTTTTATATGAAAACAAGGTGCCTTTTTCAACTTTACCTGCTATCAAGGGATAAGTACTGGCACCTTTATTTTTACAAAAACACTGCTACATTATGATATATATAGTTAGAAGGGAAATAATTTTGAAGATTACATATTTCAGCCATTTTGGACATCAGGAGTATTCATTGAGATTCCACTGTAATGAAGTACTCAGTTTTACAAAATGATTTTCATTCTTTGAATATAATATATTTAATTTTATGAAAATGTCAACTGGGCAAGTTGTAGTGCATCTGACTTGTACCATAGACTTATGACACTTCAGAACATGACTGATCTGTGCCCTTCTTCATTCCCCTGGTCAAGTTCTGATATAGTAAAGGGTGTCCAAAATGAACACAGCCAATAAGGAAACTGAATAACTTCACTCCCAATGAAGATGTGTGTAAGTTGTTTGAAGTGAAAAGAGTAAACACTCACCAGACATTTTGCCATGTCAGCAGATGTGCCCCCTTGCAGGGTGGCAGACATCAACCAATATTGTATCTCTCTCCACATGTTTCATATTAAGGATCCTGTGGCACAGATCACGCAGGTCATTGCATTCTGTCCAGTATATAATGTGTTTGATGTATCCCCATAGGAAATTTTTGGGGGGGGCAATTGTGCGATCAATGGAATCGCAGGATTATGGATTCGGTGGACCCACTCCAACTGGCACACACTATTCTCTCTGCATGCAGAATAATGGGGAGTTTACTGTACTTTCTCATACTGAGAGTAAAATACTGCTTCTTTATAAAACATGATTTAAATTTCTTTATGGCTTTTAAGCCTCTTTCCTTCAAAACTATAGCTCCTAAAGCAGACTAAATTGAGTGGATGGTTGTTACCATTCAGTTACAGTGTTCTGTCTTCCTGTCTAAGAATGTAAAGACTAAACTATAGAAAACTATATTTCCTTTTCTGTATTATCTCTTACCTCAGGAAAGAGCACAGATTGAGGGTGTTGGAAACGTGTTGAGGAAAATAGTAACATATTGGAGAAAATTTTGTAATGAGCATTTTAATTTGTACTAAGCCATATATAATAAGCTGTCTGTCGTAATATTTTGTAAAATGTTTGTGTTTCAGCAGACAGCAGTTATGAAGGAACTGCAAATGGTAATGATATTGAAGATGAACCAATGGAAATGGATGCCGACCAGTTTGAAGATGCAGATGATTAATGCATACAGGACAGAACACACTAATGTGTCTGAAACAATTATTCTACTGGAGCAACATGTTCGTCAAATTAATTTAAGAGACTGTAAATTTATAATTCAGGAACTAAATTGTCATTTTTACGTTACACTAATGAGAATTGGCGGTGTATTGTCTCTCGAAACTTGAGAAATAAACATTTATACATATTGAATATTTATTGTAATTGGCTTAGGTGAACTGCTGAAGATGATTATATTACACAATTTGCTTTTGTAACTAGTTACAGGATGTAGACCTAGACATGTTAGATGTTTGCATCACTGACAGCATAGAACCATGTGTTATAAACTCCAAGGAATATGCCCTTCAGAAATTAACAGTTGCTCAGAGAGTCAAGAATTTCCTCAGCTTTTATGGAACATGAAGGTTCAATACTGTGATCACAAGAGCCTGCCACTGCCTGGGCAATTTGAACCATGCCTGACTGAAGCGTACTGTCAGTTTTGGAACAACTTGTGGCCTTTCCATGCATCCTGTGCTCCTTTTGGCTGCTCTCCTGCTCTACCCCACTCCATTCTCTGACATTCAGGATTCAGATGTTCGGTTCATCAGTGATTTGCCCACAGACAGGAAAAGGTCCCTGGGGTTAAGAGAGAGGGTTTGGTGGTCAGAGCCCAGGAGGTGTTTCTTTTTCTAAATTCAGATTTGGCTTGTGTGCCAAAATTTTGACTCTGGCTATACTCAACTTTGAAAGTTCTACCAAGTTTGTTTTATTATAGTTCTCTAACCATAACACATGCGTCTGGCATATTATTTACTTACAGTTGTGTTACTTGCATTTTATTTTATCTGCCACCATGTTAATTAAAAACCACACCAAAGCCCATGGAAAGGTTATAGAAACAACAGGGTCTACTGTGTATGCATCATGGCTACTGTTAACATTAAAGTCAACTTTTTCGTTCTGTCTCCATGTTCTAACTTAGGAGCGGTCTACCTGCACAGTATTTATACAATTAAATGCAACTTATACCAGAAATTCAAAACATAACTTCTTAATGTAAAGTATGTGCAAATAAGCACAATAGATCACTGTAGGACGTGGTGCAAGGGCCTAGAAGGCCCACCCTTTATACATTCATGTGTAAATAATGCTAAAGTTATGGATGGAGCTACTCTTGAGTACACAAAGAAATGTAACACTATTGTGTTGCTTCTGTCAGCTTCTCGCACATGGATTCACTGACGTTCAATAAAATTTCTGTAAGCAAGCAGTGGCGTGGAAGTACTTTTTTTACCTCAACACAGGATCACTGAATATAAGATGACACCCCAATACCAAATGTGTCTGTACATAAAATATAATTTTATGTATTAAAAATACATTTACTACAAGAAAACATGTCAAAGATACTAAACAGCCAAAAACATATTGTGGCATGTAGACCCAATGCTGGGCAATGACAGAGATAAGAAAATATACAACAGCCTTCTGAATAACGGCTTCACAAACAAACATGTTCCCACAGCAACACAGGAACAGTGTTTTCTGTGCAGTCTGTGCAAAGATGTTATAAGCAGGACTGTTGAGAGAGTCGACACTCCTGTATGGAGGCAGGTTCAAATACCTCCACCATAGCCCTGCAAATCATAGGAGATGACAGAAAGGGAATCCAGTGCCTAGGGGTGTAACTGGGCCACCCACTTCCTGGTGACCCTCCAGGTTCAGGGAGTCTTGAATCTGAGACCGCAAGATAAGCAAATATAAAACAACCATTACTGAGTTAACAGCTCCGCAAACAAACAAGTTCCCATAGCTACAACTGAACCACAATAAGGAACAGCTTTTTTCTGTGTGGTCCATTCTGAGATGTTATATAAGTGGGACAGTTGGGAGCCAGTTCTGCTTGGAAGCTGCAGCTGAAAGGTGTCAGCCAACGAGAACAGGGGCCATTCAGCACGGAACCAGACGACTGTTGGGATCTGTAACCAGGCAATGACTGGTGAAGACATAGGAAGCTGAGAAGACTTTGTATGTCCTGTGGTTAGTGATTTGTGAAGTATGTAGAACAGTGAGAGCATAATCCTTATTTACAGTTACGTTCTGTAAAAGTTCAGTAAATCCGATTACCAATCCAAACCCCATCTGTAGTCACTCTATCACATGACAATATTATATACATAGGTCGTACCGAAAGTCATGAACTTTTTTTTTGCATGCAACCTGGGAACAGCAGACGAAAGAGAGTATGGTGGTAGGTGGAACCAGCTGTTGTGTTAACCTTGAGTGTCTTGTGACATCAGTAGCTTGCATCACGTGACCAGTATCACGCCTAACAAAATGGCAGACGATATTTCGTTTCGCCAGCGTGCTGTCATCGAATTGCTTGTGAAAGAGGAAATCCCTGCTGCAGAAATTCACCATGCATGGGTGAAACATTTTAAAGATGGGAACACCAGCATTGAAGATGAGCCTCGGAGCGGTCGTCCTTGAACAGCCTCCACTGAACGCAACAAGGAAAGAGTGGATGAGATCATTCAAGATGACAGGCATGTGATTGTGGACACAATAGCCCGAAGACTTGGAATAGGGCACAGTGCAGTACAGGAGATGATTGAAAGCTTGGGCTATAGGAAAGTTTGTGCTCATTGGGTCCCGCGGTTATTGACCGAAGACCACAAAGGTCAGCGAAAAGCCATCACTCAGAACTGATGCAGAGATATTGACACAAAGGTGATTTTTTGCTCTGTATTGTGACAGATGATGAAAGCTGGTTTCACCATTTCGAGCCTGAAATGAAACGGCAGAATATGGAATGGCACCATTTGCATTCTCCATCAAAAAAGAAGGCAAAAACTGCCATTAGCTGCAAAGGTGATGGGCACAGTGTTCTGGGATGCAGAGGGGTTTATTCTGGCAGAATTCCTGGAACCTGGGCAAACCATCAGTGCTGCTTGTTATGTCCAGACGCTGCACAAGCTCCGTCGTGCATTGCGCAATAAATATCCGGGATGAAACATCATCATCCTGCATGACAACGCTAGCCCCCACGCTGCTCACCTCACATTGAAAGCAATTGCAAGGATGGGGTGGGAAGTTCTTCCACACCCCTCCTATAGCCCTGATCTGGCACCTTCCGACTACCATCTTTTCGGATTTGTGAAGGATCAGCTGTGTGGACAATGTTTTGAGATAAGGGAGGCAATTCAGAAAGCAGTGTGTCAGTGTCTTCGGATGGCTGGAACAGAATTTTACAGAAGGGGAATTTTCAAACTCCCAGAACGCTGGGAGAAATGTGTACAAAGAAGTGGCGATTATGTGGAAAAATAAAGGACGGTCTGTAGATTGAGGTTGTGTATTTGGTTTGTCAATAATAAAGCATGTTACTTTACAAAAAACTGTTGCTCATGACTCAGTATGACCGTCGTATTAAGACAGCATCCTCTTTCTCACATTTTCTGTGTTTAATATTCCCAGCTTAATCACTTTGCTATAACAGCTCTTGATGGTGATATACAGCATCTGATTCATAGCTTTGATGATTCTTTGAGTGAACTCATCATAGCTCTTGGCTCCTAACCTTGAAACATATTTCTGTCTCACTGTGCTGACAGCGTGATACTGCATGAATATTAGCATATACTGCATCTAGAAACATCAACCCGCTAAGTGTTTTAAAAGAATCAGTCTATTTGTTACAATCAAACCGAAGACAACCCTTCATAATTTAACTCAAAAATAGGGAAGAAACCTATCTTCCATTTGGATAAATATGATACTAAATCAAAGTACAGATTTAAGGCCAGCTGGATTTTTATTCAATAAACATGTGTCAAAAACATTAAAACAAGAAACATTAAAGTGGATAAAATTGTGTAATATTCGTATATGTCTATGGCTGGATCACAAAAATTAACACAGAATAGAAAAATCTCTTAAACTGAGAAACCTTAAATTGAAATTCTACTGTATTTATTTGGGAAGGGAAAAGAATCAGAAGAGGACAGAGTTCAAAAGAATATTATAAAAGAAATGTGGTATTGTGGACCAGAGACATCCTAAAACAATTCATAACAGCAGTCTATAAAGTATATTTTAAACCTACACTATCAAATAATGCTGAAACATGGACCCTTACAAAGAGAAACAGAAGCAAAATCTAACCACTGGATATGAAATCTCTGAGAAGTATTAAGGGAAAAAAGAATAGATGGAACTGGAAATGAAAGTTTCACAGAAGCTGAGATTCAAAACTTGTTAACAGGGTTAGAAGGGAAACGATTACAGTAATCTGGCCAATAAAAATAATTAACAGAACAAGTGTAATAAGACCCTTATAACTAAAATTGAATGGGATGACCATAAACAAGATGGTTCAATCATGCACTGGAGGATATCTGGAAGAGAAAAGAGCTGGAAAGATATAAAAAGTGAAGGATTATAGGAAAAAATATGAGACTGGAGACCTTCTCTCCATCAAGTGGTATAAAATGGAAATAAAATTGGGAGAGGAAGAAGACTTCTTTAATTTCTTTGACTTTTTACATGCTACAACTTTTTAAATATATCTGCAATATCATTATCTTCATCAGATATTTGTTGTGGAAATTCAAAGCATGTTTTCTCATAACTCTTCATGGTTTTTGTGACTTCTACAGTTTTACTAATTTTGGAATGTAAACTATGTGCAGACAATTTCCTTATTTCATCTTCAAGATAAAGTTGTTCCAGCTCCTTGAACTCTGATTCCACTGTCTTCACCTTCTGCTGAACTTCAATCTCCTTCCTTAAACATGCTTCCATGAAACATGCCTGCAAAACAAAGTTCGATATAACAAACCGGTGTTTCACATATTACATTCCTGTTCATGTTCATCCTGAATCATTCAACTTGATACAGAAAGGCAAGTATCCACATAACAAAAAACACTGACCCTGAGCAACTTTACTCATTACTCTTAGATGAATTAATGTAGGTACTATACGTATTCCTCCTGACCACAGAACAGAACAGTGCATGTGCACATCTTGGCAACTGCCACTCCTTTGTATAGTATCTAGAGAACATTGAACTCCACGAGATTCACACGGTTTTACAAATAAACATACCTAACAACAAATCTAGTTATAAATACCAACCTAAAATGCAATTTTCTGATGCTGGCCTCAAGTAATCTTTCCAACTGAAGAGTTTCCCTAACACTGTAAAAGCAAAAATTAATAATGCCTTGAGACTGCTGAAGATTTTTCAGCAATAAGAGCAAAATTAAAGCTTTCTTTCAGAAGTGGAATTTGGGCAATTTGTGATATTGTGATTTGTGGCTAAACTTCATCCTCAAGATGAACACAATTTCTGTGCATGAAATTGTTTTCCAGAGCATGCCAATTAAAGAACATGGAATTTGACTGGCAGTAATTCTGATACTTCACTGAACCAAGAGTTCTATGTACTATTCCTAAAAATGTGTTGTGAAGAATACTTCATTCAACATGCCCATACAAAATGGTACTTCCAGTAACACTACAAAAAAAAAAAAACGAAGTACCAGAATCACAAATGCTGCATTGCCATGAGAAACCAGCTCTCAAAAAATTCCTTCCACATTCTGGACAATCAGTGATTCATATAGCAAGAGACATGCTATCACTAACCTGAAATCCACATGTTTTAATTACCTTTGCACTACTGTTAAATCTGCATGTTTAAGTTTATCTAAGATACAGTGCTTTTGGCATCGGCTCATATGAAAATTGGTACCACTCCAAATCAGTCTTCTGGAAGTACAGTATAGGACCAAGAAGTTTTATATTTCATATACCTGAATTGTTCATACCGTTTTCTCTGTCCATACAATTTAGTTCTACAAAATATTCTTTATCCAAATGTGTTTCCCCATACCATCCAATGGACAGGCAAAGAAGTTGTCCCTGTGCTTAACTAATTAAGTACTGTGCCATGAAGGCGTGTGGGGGAGTGGAAGTATAGGTCCACATTTTCTTGACTTTGGCACTAGATGGAGGTGAGTGGTCAGCTTCATGCCCGGCTGCTTTACCTCAGGGAAAGAGCCCTCGGTACCCATTGTATAGGAGGTTGGGTGGACCCCGGAGCTAGTCTGGACGACTGTTGAAGTGAAAATTCTTGATCCTACCAGGATTCGAACTCCACCCCCTCAGTCATCCAGCTCAGAGCCAGTTGCTATACCGACTACACATCCTGGCTCATTCAATGGACAGAAGACTATAAAAAAGGCATCACATTTTCCTTCTGCAAAAGTTGTGTTCAAAAGCATCATAAGGACAGATTAGCTATGCTTAAACCCAATGGAAGATGAAACTGACATGACTGTGTCTACTGGAGTGATGTAAACCCACAAGAGCTCAATTCCCAGAAGTGGCAGCCTGGGTGAGGACATGCCATAAAGTTGCACTTGACCTTCATGTCCTCAATGTTACTGTAGAAGAAAACACTTGCAGCTTCTACAAACCATGTGATACCTAAGCTTGAACATGGTCATGACACATATAAGGTGACTGATCTGGCAGTAGAACAGAACTCCATTCCACTTCGGTGAACAATATCTATATTTTCTTCACAAGATTTTTCAACACAAATAAAGTGCTATGGCACAGCACAATGGGCTCCTCCATGTTCTCTTACCTCATTTCTTGTGAAGTATCATAAAGAATCTGTACAGCATGAAATCTTGCAATATCAACCAAATGACTGATACGTCAAGAATTTGGTATCTTAAATATGACAGCCACTGTTGAAACCAGTGTATTCATAATCATTATTTGTTTTCTTCTGTGTTTATTCTTTCATAGTGAATACATAAACTCATCTCAGTAAAGCAATTCCTCAGCCTGAGGAACTATAAAGAATTTTTTGTACTGGTGACCTTCTTTAGTATAATGGTATTAACCTAAGCCAAGAAACTTAATTCATCAGCTGGGGTAAAATATGCAGTCCATATTACTGACAGATTTTATTTAATGACCCTGCACTGATTATGAATGATGTATTGGAAAGGATGGAAGGAAAGAAGTAGCTGTAGCATATTTTAAGATATCACAAAATTATCCTACAATGACTGAAGTGAGTGTTCATATTATGACCTTGGTCATGACACCAGGTAGACTTGTAGCTGGACACCAACATTTCAGAGAAAGTTCCCTGATGAAAAAGGCAGCATATTATTCTTTTAAAATGTTGATACTCACCTACAAGGTTAAAAGATGGATGGTAACACAATCCAGAAGACCAAAATATGTGTGTGTTAGGAAAACCAGTCACTAGACCAAGATTAAAACCCAGGATCCCTCCAGATATGAAGCAGAAATGCTAACCTTTGTGTAATGACTAGGGACCGGATTTTTATGCCCTAATAATCCCTTAAATATGTATGCATTTATGCATGAAAAACTTCTGAAACATGCACTAAAATATGCACATAAAAATTTATACCAAATATTAAAATTGATTTTACATTATTTTAAGACCAACAAATCTATATTTAAGTTCATTTTATGTAATCACTGAATGATTCACTTGCAATAAAAAGCTATACTTAAACATAAACCATGTAACAAAGCCAACAAATTTCATTACAAATTTAAAAAACCAACGGTACTCACATTTAGCTCTCCGAACTTTCAACTTCTCTTCTTTTGCAGTTCACAATTACTAAATGTTTTAGGTTTTCCATAGTTAATCGCCTCCTATTGTTTTGTAAGATGTCCTTATAACAGGACAAACTTCTTTCCACCTCACAGGAACTTAGGGGCCCATGTACAAAACCTGCTGCTTGCTTCACTGTTAGTGATTTTTTACTTCGCAGTTCAGTATGTTTACCGGATAAAATTTCTTCAATTTCGCAAATTTGTTCATATCCTGGATTTTTTTAAAGAATGCTGTGTACTTTTTCCTTTACTACTTCACCAACTTTTCCAGGAACCGAATTCAGTTTGGAAACAGTGGTTTTGAACAAACTTAGCAACTGATACAAAGTAGTATTGCTATTGCTTGCCTCCAGTGAGGAAATGGCGGATGGAAGATGAGAGAAGTGAGCAGATATATAGGAAAGATTAGTTTCTAGTTCTGCGTTCTTTAGTACATCTTGGGTAATTTGAATTGATGCTGCACTTTTGGGATCAAATGTATTCACGACATTCCTAACTGTTCTCTAAATGTTTGGTATAATAACTCGCTGCACACAGCCACGTGCCCCAGCACGTTAAAATTGGTTCTGGCGGAAGTGGAATGCTCGGTGCTACTGCTTTGAAGGCTTCTTTTCTGTATGCTGCTTTAACAAATATCTTCTTCACAGAAGACACCAACTTGTCAACAAGCGGAAAATCAGCATGAATTGTTTCTGCAACGCGGTGCAACCCATGGGCAAGGCAAGTCAAATGTGTCATATTTAGAAATATAACTTTAAGAGCAGTACCAGCTTTCATCATATAACTTGTGACATCAGTCACAAAGAGCAATACGCGTTCATACTGAATGCCATTCAGCCATAGTAAATTCATGGAATTGATAAAAAATTCGGAAACTGCGGAGCTATTTGTGGTTTCAAATTGCTCTACCGCAAGAAGATATGGGGTAGATTGTTCATTCTTATTAAGGGATCCAACTATACAATCTCTTTGCGGCCACTTTGATGGTACGCGGATCGAAAGTTACGAGTAGAAGGATTGGGGAAGTCCCGTCCTGGGTACTGCATCAGAAACAAGAATCATGATGAAATGTTGAGTCAAATATGCAACATATTCTAATACGGAAAAGAAAAATTGTATACACACGATCATGATTGAAAATTTGAACATAAAATTAAAAAATATATATGATAAATATTTTAAAAAGGAACTATGCAGTATAAATAGAGATCTTCGAAAATATGATGCTTATTCATAAAACAGGCAAAATATGCATTTATATGCACCATCAAACCATGTCCAAAATTTAAGAAATGAAGTAATTCATACATATTGTATATCCAAGCAAGGATACTTTCTGGTTGCAAGAAAGGAATAGGCATTTGCATTAAAATCCGGTCCCTAGTAATCACATACAGTCCAAATTACATGTATTACTCTACAAATGTAGCTGGTGAATATCTGAACTCACAACAGAATATGCTCAAGATGCTTATTTGCAGCAGTTACATTAGGACACTGCTGTAAATAATGTAATGAGTCCAGACTTTATCAGTGCAAAATGTTATATGAGGATCAATAAGAAATTATAAGAGTTTTATAAAAATTTTTGTCCTTATCAGAGAATATCTGTTGCTAATTCTCTCAGCAACATTTGCTTATACAGTCATTTGTTTTCATTACCCTTCATGTCATATTTCTGAGAACATTCTCAGAAATGTATATAGACAGATTTAAGCAGACTTCTGGGAGGACCATCACGAAAGGTAAAACAAAAACATCTTCAAAATATATCTTTTGCTCATAACATGAACAAAGAATTTCTGATCACAAAGTGTTTCTGCAATGTACTGCCACTTACCCTCTTTGCTCTAGCTATAAGCTGTTCCATTTCTTCATCAAGCAGTTGTTCATCTTCTTTGGTATACTGTGTAGACTGTGGCACATCTTCTGGTAGCAGAACATAGGACGGTATAGAAAGAAATTCATCTACTGCCAACTGTAATATATGACATACATTTCTTAATTATGGAACCATTGGTGAATTAGAATCAGGGCATAATATGCAAATTTTATGACATCTGTATCAAACATGTAACTAGATAACAACCTGAAGCAAGACATCAATACTAATTACAGTAACTCAACTGGACAATAAATTGCTCACCTTTTTCAGAACACAAAACTATTACTCTGGTCATAAGACCCTAACTTTCCTTCCCCTTGGTGCTACAGTCCAGAGTGAGCTTTGGCCTCCTGAACAATCTGCCTTCATTCTTCTCTATTCTTCATCTTTCCTCCCAATCCTTTCAATTTCATTTTATGGAGATCATCATGTACATCCTCCAACCACCTCAGCAACTTCACTGATGTCCATTTCCGTTCAATCCATCCATCCGAGGCTCACTATCTGGTTTCTGAACAACTTAGTTTTTACAGTTTGAGGTTGTTATCCTCATGCCAAACCCCCAACCTGGAGAACCAGGGCATCCCTCTTCGTCTGGCTCCTACCCCTTAACCTGTCCAGCATAGGTGACCCTGCCAGTAGATATGCTACCACCAGTATAGCTCTCAGGGTCTCAGGAGCACTCAAACCCCATTACCACAATAAGGTGGAGACACCACTGATGGGGATAACAGCCTAACACTGGATAAAATGTTGAATCCATTCCATTTTAATGCTCTCCTCCACTTCTGTAAGTGTGTTTGCCAAGGGTCTCTTCTCTTCAGATTTTATGACCACAGTTTTGTGTGCAATTTTCATCATCATGAGTGTTACTTCCCCCACCCATCACTTCCTCCTTCATGTGATACAGCTGGAATAAAATAAATTCTAAATCCCACATTCTTAACTCTTTAAAATAATTTCATTCCAGTGTCCGTATCATTTCTGTTAATTCTTAGAGAGGTGACCAGCTGTCATTCAGCTTGGGTTCAGCTGTTTGGTTTGCATAACAAACTCTCCCTTAGTCACATATTCCTAACCCACACAAGGATCTGACCAGATATGTCAACCACTCCAAGCTGTATCTCTGAAACTGCCTCAGCACAGATACTTTTTTATTTGTTTAGTCTTTACTGGCCATGCATTTCATTACCAAAATGGTGCATGCATGAGCATTGCATTCTTTCAATACAAACATCATTGCCCCAAGATAAAATTCAGCTGCCCCATCCCCTGTACTGGTAAATGTGAAATACCCCATTTCTCGATGATGAACTGTTATCCAAGAGTTAAAATCCAGCTCCCAGCACCACAGTACTGAGAGATTTAAAATTCCCTATTCCCACATATTAAGGGTTAGTTCCATATGTTATAATATGATATGAACTGACATACTGAGTTTAGACAGATACATATGGTAGTGGTCATGGTGTAATCCAAGATATTGTACTGTATTCACTCAAACTATGCAAAACCAAAAAAAAAAAAAATATATCTCTGGATAGCCCACCTCTTAATCAGGACCTCAAACAAAGAAGTCCAAAATACATGGCAGTAGTATCAATGACTACAATGACATCTGTTATGTACCTGTTTTATTGAAGTTGAATAAACGAAATTGCACCTCTTCCATTTACTCGTATGAATACAATTTTTTTGTGAGCACTGCTCCCTGAATTCATTATGTCAGAACAACAGTAGAAATGTTCCTTTCTTAGCTCTCTCACTGTCCTTCATTTATCTGCATTTAAAAAAAGTCAGCAACACGCATTAATAAACATAGCCATCGTATGTCCGCAGACTTCTTACAAAAATAAAGTAATATCTGTTTCATATGTCAACATTTTATTACCAGAAAGCTCTGATTTTCTGTGAGGGATATATGTAGTATGGTTACACTATTCAAATGCTCTTCCTGATGTTACAGTCCCTCTGACATGCAATAACACAACTTGGTCTGTGTGCCCTGACACGTGTAATACACACAGATGCTAAATAATTTTGGGTTATTTAGGATAATGTAGTATAGCTAAGAAGAGTGGTGGGTGGTCTTGCATTCCACCACCATTATTCAATTATGAATGTACTACCATAGTCAATAATTTCGTGGACTGGCCACAAAGCGTCGTTGCATTGCATTACAGCAGATAGGTTGAGGCACAATATGATGCCTTGTTAGTTCATCTCTCATCACAGCAAGAGGCAGTTGTGTGCAAACAGTGTAAGCAGAACTACGGCCTCTAATGTGAACTGCAGTTACATGCGAGTGGCAGAAATTGAATGTGGCAATCTGAAGAACGGGCAAACATCAAGTTCTGCCAGAAACTAGGCAAAGCCCCTAACGAAACGTTTGGCGTAGTAAGAATTGGCTGTTGCTACACGACAATGCCCCTGCACATCGCCCTGTTCTTGTCCAAGAGGAACTGGCAAGACAACAGGTCACCGTTTTGCCACACCCTCCGTACTCACCTGATCTCGCACTATGCAATTTCTTTCTCTTTCACTGCTTGAAAGCAAAGCTACGTGGTTGTAGATTTCAGTTGTCCAAGGAAGTCATCAATGCCACAATAGACGCCATACGGGAATTTCCTGCCAATATGTTTCAGCAATAATTTTGGCAGCTATATCAACATTGGCAGACTTACATAGCGGCCAACAGCAACTATTTTGAGGGACGATGTGGATCTGTGTAAGTGTATCTGAATACCTTGTAATATGATGTGATAAAACCACAGTCCCCGAAATTAATGACTGTACCACGTATTTCAACTTTGGTATTTACATAGTTTGATTCATGAATACAAGTCACACTGCATTGCAACATCTATGGAAAATACTACAGACTGTTGAAAGGAAGAATCTAAAGGTGCATTGCACCTCATTAAATACATCTATCTATGTTTCACTGATGTCTTCCCATTTTGGGTAATTTTAACTCCATATAACTGACAGATTACTGATGAATGAATAATATTATTCAATGTTAATTTAATTATGGCTTATTTAATGACATCGTCAATGGCTCAGATTATATGTCATCAAATGATAAAACGTTCAGTGAGTAATCTATTGGGAAGACTGTGGAAGGAAGCAGCTGTGGCCTAACTTGATGACCTAGAAGAAGCTATACGAGCTGTACTATCCCAGCTCTTAGACTTAGAACAAATGCAAAGAAAAAAATCAGTGCAGACACTACACATACCTTTTCATATAGGACTGACCTTTATGTTACCTTGGAAATGAAAGTGATTCTTGCTTGGTAGACAATTGCTGGTTACTGAATACTGAAGAACAATGAAATCTGCCTGACCAGTAAGGCTGATACTGAGAAAACTGACATTTCATGTCTGGGACCCTAGTGGACACTGTTACTTTCCTATTGATACTATCTATTCAGTTTCATTCAGGGATATGTTCTCCACAAATTAGTGAAATTTAATCAAAACTGTTACAGCTGTTTTCAAAAATATTGCCATTTTCTTTCCTTTGGACCCATTTGAAGGGCCCCTATTTTTTAAGCTAGAATGTTCATATTTACCGAGCACAGACCTATATGATAAACTCTTAAATGCCAAATATGATTAAAAGCTTCCCCGTCATTCAGGAGCTAGCCAGGCATGCATATATTCAACCATCCCTCCATACAGAAAGACTGCTTTCCAAAAAAACATTTTTCTTTTCTATTCATATTTAGGGTGGCTAAGAACAAGTAAATCCATCAAAATCTTAAGATTATTTTTTTCATGATCACAATATTTTCTCATATATACTATATAGGGTGTCCCACGAGGAATGGACCAAACTTCAGGAGGGTGTTCCTTACGTTAAAGTATGCCGATATAACCCAAAACACCTATGTCCAAAGTTGAACGGTTACGGAGATAATGGCCAGAGAAGTGTAAAACTTTGACCGGCGTTGCACACTTGTTGATTACAAAATACATATTAAAACTGGCAGGAATATGTGGATTCTGTAATGTTAATGATGTACAAGGTGTGGCAATAAAGAACCCGGATTACTTTTATGACTCATTTCCGGCCACGTCATTGACGAAGAGGAGGGTAGGGCATTGACCCTTGGACTTCCCTCTACCGTCACACAAAGTTTCATTCACGTGCATCGGTTAGTCTGGCCGCGACCATTGTTAGAAGCGGATCGTGTTTCTGAGCTCCGTCGGAATAATGCTGAGTGCTAATGCAGAACAACGTGCTAACATCAAATTCCTCACAAAACTTGGAAAATCTGCCACTGAAACTTACAATTTGTTGACAGAAGTATATGGTGATCA